AATGCAAGGCAGAGTACAGGCAATGATGGCACCTCAGTTCTAGCAATCAAACAACTTAAAAATATTGGCATACAGAACTCTAAAACATTATTTTCCCATTACTGAACTAGGGATAAAAGGACAAACGACTCATGTCAGCTGAAAACGATATCCAAATCTGTTACAGTAGCACCAAATGTCTAATCAGGATAAAGTGGTTTTGGCTCAGGTGAAAAAACATCATTTCTGGTTTATTCCCTTGTTTAAACAAAGGGGAGGCATAATATAGGACACCTCTGCAATTCTGGACGTGCTCCATCCTCTGTAAGGCCTGTGTCAGTGTTTTCCTCTGGCTCTGCTCACAGCCATGTTTTGGATGTGCTTCCACAGCAGCGAAGGGTCGGACTCGTTATGTCTTATCAGAGACTCCAGCCCCTCTGCTTGGTCCAGGCTCTGCCAGTAATCCTGAGGCCATATTTGCAACCATCTGCAGACAGATACAAAAGCAGATTAGGCTCATCACAGAGGTTATTTTAATTAGACCGTTAAATTGGACTGATGTCTCTACCTTCGGGACATTGTTATACACATTAAAGTAGAGAAGGGAGAAGGATTTCACACCTGGCACAGAGAATAATGTAACACTAACTCACCCATCATCTGCAGGTAAGTCTGTGACATGTCCGTACCCCGGGCCGGGCAAAGGGCACCCCATGTGAGAGTTGTTTGCCATTTTAGGCTTTGGAGGTTGGTTCTTGTTGGGGGCTTTCCTATATGTGCGTTCTGCCACCAGTCGTGCATTCTCCTGGTCACACACGTAACATTCAAATCCATTCAGGTAGTTGGGTTTACTCATGTCATTAACCCCCCACTCGCGAGTCTCCAGCGCCTCTAACAAACGAGTGTTAGTAATGCGGCTGGGCTTCTTGAATTCTAAATATCTTGCATATTCATCATCGCTCTCGTCAAGACGTTTGAGGAACTCAGCGAGACTTTTGGGAGAGGGGAAGTGATCTATGATGATGGCAGAGTGGTCGTTGGGCATCCAGTCGGCCACAGAGGAGGAGCCCCGGTAGACGGGCACGCAGCCCTGGTGCAGGGGCCGCCACAGCTTCTCCGTCATGTAGTCCGGACACAGGCCGTTCTCCAGCGCCAGGTGGAACTTGTAGCGGGCAACAAAATTCATAAAGCTGGATTCTTCCCCGGTCGCTGTGGCTGTGTCCTCGAGATTTTCAGGTAGAGGTTTGTTGTTCAGGCATTTCCCGTAAGAGTCCACCTGCAGAGAGGTTAAATAATGAGTCAAAGGAGAGAGATGGGGCATTCAGGAAACGTTAGATTATAAATGAGACGTAGTCACACTTTTAATGGTCTAAGTTTTTCATGAAAGCCTGATTAGACGTTTCTAATTAAACTCCAACATTTGATCCCCTGATGGGATTTCTCAAAACTTGCACTGAGGGCTATATTTACAAAGCCTTTACTAAAGTGTTTCTGCAGTTGACTGCTTTAGCATTAATTATATTTGACCTCTTGACCTTTTCCCCACAAGTAAGTTCAAGTGGAAGCAAGAAAGATGCCAAGCTGCAGATTATTTTATTGCATGGGATCCAAGTGATAGTTATTGTAAAGAATGAATATTAGAGGGTGGAAATTGGAGGAAATTACTGGAAATGGTGTTTACCCACAACCAGCAATGTGTCCTGACATTGTTGTTGTTATCTTTGACAACAAAATGTCAGGGGATTAGTAAATATAACATCAACAAATTACATTTTACTACCATTCTGGGTTTTTTTGTCTTAAAAAAGGACGAAAAACAAACTAAACTGTGTTATATCATGCTATAGTATGAAAACATATTATACTGTCATCTTACCACATCATATAGAATATATTATTTTGCTATATCATTACAGACAACAAAAGGTCAAATACATATCTAAGTATATATTTTATTGTTATGTTATGTTGTTACATTTACTAGACCTGCTGCTATTGATCAAAACATGTCACTTTAACCTCGTAAATGACTTTGTACATTAGTCTTTTGTACTCCTTTACTAGTTGTATTAACCTATTTTTATTGTTATTTTATTTTATTTTACTGAACCTCTCTTGTGCTGCTTCAACACCTGATTTCCCCCTGAGGGTATCAACAAAGGCTTATCTTATCTTTGTGAAAAACATCTCTGTATCTGTGCTGTACCTGGATATACTTCATGAGCTCCTGGACATATCTGTTTCTGTCCGAGGGTACGTCGCAGTGGGACTGCATGTAGAGCACAGGAGCCAGCCCCCCCCTCCTCAGACGGTTCTTCTCCCCCAGGGGCACGGCCACAGGCTGCAGCAGGTAATCCAGAGAGGGCAGCCACTGCAGGGTCAGAGGATAGTCCGACTCCCTGCGAAACGTGGCAGTGTAGTTGAACAGCCTGATTCCCGGTCCATGGGAGAGGAAGTAGTTATTCATGGGGGACTCTTCGTGGAACAGTGCCCAGGTCTGGTGGCGGAGACGAGGGAGTGGCGCCTCATATGCCCGGAAGTCTGTCCCATAAAAGATGATGGATGCAGTCCGCTTGTACATCTGGACCTTTCAAGATCAAACTCAAGATTACTGGCAGAGCAACTTCAGATGGTAAATGTTATTAATGTGAGCATGCATCGTCTGTATGTCTGAGCCAGGAGTTTCAGTCAAAGGCTCAATGAGGTTAAATATCTCTGGTACCTTGCGGTTGCTTGTGACCAGGCAGGAGGATGTGGCACAGTCGATGCGTTCAGAGTCACCAGGGAAATGTGGGAACAGTCCTCCACTCCACCAGAGGAGAATGGGCAGCTCCTTGTTGATGCGGCGGTCTCTGTTGCCAGGTCCTCTGTATGAAGAGATAGAGGAGAACTCCATCTCTGACAGAGCACTCTGGGGTTGAAAGGCTGCTCGGTCCACTGCATCCAAAGCCTCCAGGGGGAGTTGATCATCTGGAAAGGAGGCAAAGGAGACCCAGACCCAACACAGGACACCAAACAGCCCCAGACAAGCACAGGGCACCATCCTGCCCCTACCCGCCATCTAAAAAAAAAAGTCGAGAAGAACAGAAAACACATTTTAGAGACTTTTGCATTAGTTGGAAGTAGGTCACCATTAAAACTCACAAATCAATGAACTTTCTTATTCAAACAAAGTCGTGTTTTCTAAATTTTGCAAATAAAAATAGAGTATATGTTGGTTCTTATAGCCCAGATTAAAGTTAAAGGGATGCAAACTTTGTTGAACAAACATAAGCAGTTTACTCCAACATTTCCATCATACGTGTCAATGTTTCCCGAGCATGCACCAATATCCCAACATTTCCAGTTTCCTACCTTTAACACTGCAGCGAACGCATCAAGGAGCGTTTTAGTTGATTCTTCAAACGGAACACATACAGCTACTCTTTGAATAAGTTGGTTATAAAGAGCGGCGATAACAAAGTGCAGTCTGTTAACACACAGCCAACGGTACACAGATGGAATAATAAAAACAGCCCCAGTCTTCTTCTACGCTGCTTATTTTCTTCTTCTGTGGTTCGTAAACCACTCACGTCTGCACTCCGCCTCCTACAGCTCCGGAGAATATGATGGCAATGTTCAGTTCTGACTAATTCAAAGTTACATTTATTTGGTCGCAAAATATTACAAAAACACCAGAGCACAATGTGGAACCTTTAAGTAAAAGTTTAAAATAAAAGTAACGTAAAGACATGATAGGCCACTTAATATAGAAACAAAAAATAAATTAGTCTCGTGTCAAAATAGCTTTGGAATTGAGTGTCATATACATTTGTATTACACATGTGACACATTTTAATAAAACAATGTCATTGTAAAAAGCATTAGTAAAGTGTGTCATTAGAAATAACATTACAAAATGGGATAGCATGGTATGACCAAGAAAATGTAATGGAAAAGTCGAAAGAAAGTCATAAATAAGTCATTAAAAAAACGTCATAGTATAGCATGTCTTTAAAAAGCAATTGAACGTGTCACTGGATAATATTAACAAACGTATATTGAAAGAAATATGATGAAAATGGCCTATAATGTAAAACTGAATGTTTTTTAATCATTCAATTACAATACAATAAAGAATTGATCTAATTGATGCTACATTCTGTTGGGCAGTTTAATATAATCAATCAGGGTGTATGTTGCATATATTAATCTGCAAAGTGACTAATAAGCAACAATCTGTCAAATAAATGTAACAGAGTTAAAAGCGGAGGTGGAAAAAGTACTCAGTACCAGAGTGTATGAATACTCTGTTACAAGTAAAAGTCCTGCATTCAAAATGTTACTTAAGTAAAAGTACAAAGGTATTGTCAGCTAAATGTACTTGTATGTAAAAGTACCAAGAACTCATTGTGTAGATTGGTCTATTGATGCATTAAAGTTAACAAAGCTGGTAAAGCTAGTTTTAATGACTTTGTATACTGCAGGGTAGCTTGTGAATTCACTTTAGGTGTAACCAAAGTCTTATTTTAGTGTTGTTTATATTTCACATCATTAATCTAAATCTGTAAAGTAGGCCTAACTAAAAGTATTAAATAAATGTAGTGGCGTAAAAGGACACAATATACCGCAAAAAAAACGAGATATTCAATTCAACAAATCCCTCAAAATCTTACAGCACTTGAGTGAATGTATTTAGTTACTTCAAACCACTGGTAAAAAGTACTATAGTTTCCTGAACTCCTGTGAAGCACAAGTACCATAGCAAACACAAACTCAAGTGAGTAGTCCTATTTCCAATTCAAAATGTACTTCAAAACATGTGTGCGATGAATGTATAAAGACATGCATACACCTCACAGGCTACAGTGTACATCTCACACTAATCTATAATAATACAAAAATATATATTTTTTTATATTTATATATTTATTTTATTTGTATTTAATTACATTTTTAGTGACAAAACAATTTCCCAATTTGGGATAAATAAAGTAAATATCTATCTATGTAATCTCACAGCGACACGGAACGGGCTTTAGGACCTCGCTCTGTCTGGGCGGTGTGCACGTGCAGCTTCCCAATGGGGGCGCGCATGTCACGACAGTCATTCAGATGTAGGGGAGGAGGGCAGACAGCGCAATATCAGCGATAGTGACAGGGTGAGTCAAAATACAGGATTTTTTATATTGAAATAAGACGCATACAATCAGAGGTAAATCATCTCAGTGCAACATTTGTTCTTTTGCTGCTTTTAAAGTAGTTTTGATTAGCATTTGCACTGATGCTAGCGGTTAGCCTGAATGTCAACAAGCCTCCAGAGTAGCCGGCTAGCTTGTTCGTTGGCTGTCAGGCTTTTCTAAGCCGCTACACGATTTATCAGTGTTTTTTGCCTGTTGCATTGCATTGGAGGTTTTAGAAACCTGTTACCTCTTTCGGTTCCTAGTTCACTTCTGCTCTAGCACTTTATGCAGAGTTTCGCAGAGACCCTTGGAGATGCAGGTTAGCCAGCAGTAAACATCTGACAACAAGCTGGTACATGTTGGGGCTCTGCGCAGGTGCAGAGGCTGTCCCCAGAGTCAGCTCATGATCCTGACTCGCCCCTGTTGTTGTGGCGTAGGAATTATTATATACGTCATTAAAACTACTATCTTAATTATTGCACGTTCATCTTTAGGTCTTTACGCTATGGCTTGTGTAGGTTATCATGAGCCATGGAGTAAACCATAAGGCTGTAGTCCTCCCTGAGCTTTAAACCGAGACCTTTGGAAGACATCTCGGTCCTTCACCCCTGTCACTGTGTCCCTGAAACTAGTAAACCATTACACATCTCTTTTTTTCATACAAATGTTGCAAGAACAGCATTTTTTCCTAGTTATCTACACTGGATCATCTGTGAAGTAAAGTCCACAGACTTGTGTTCTGTTGTTTTCTAACTGTGTACTAGGTTTCAGTTCCTATAGTGATTTGCATTTCTCTTTAATTGTGTAGTAAGTATCGATGTTATGTTACTTCCTCTTTCTAGGTTAAATCAACCCTGGTCGGCCACCTGGTGTGGAGGCCTTGCTGGGTGGGAGGAAACATGATCAGCGGTAAGAGCCTGCTCCTGAAGGTGATCCTGCTGGGAGACGGTGGGGTGGGCAAGTCCTCCCTCATGAACCGTTATGTCACCGACCGCTTCGACTCCCAGTCCTTTCACACCATCGGCGTGGAGTTCCTGAACCGGGACTTGGAGGTTGACGGGCGCTTGGTCACTCTTCAGATCTGGGACACAGCAGGCCAGGAGCGATTCAAGTCCCTCCGCACCCCCTTCTACCGAGGCGCAGACTGCTGCCTGCTCACATTCGCTGTGAACGACCTGCAGAGCTTCCAGAACCTCGGCGGCTGGAAGAAAGAGTTCATGTACTACTCAGATGTGAAAGACCCTGAGCGCTTCCCTTTTGTGGTGCTCGGTAATAAGGTGGACATGGATCAGAGGGAGGTGGGGGGGGATGAAGCTCGGGCCTGGTGTGAAGAGAGCGGCTGCTGCCCGTACTTTGAGACGAGTGCTAAGGATGACACTAATGTCACAGCTGCGTTCGAGGCAGCTGTCAGAGAGGTGCTGGCTGCTGAGGACCAGATTGACCATGCACTACTGGGTAGTACTATCGATCTCCATGGCAACCGCAAAACATCTCGCAGGTCTTGCTGCTGATTGGTCATGTGTGAATCCACCTTGTCTTAATCTCTCTGGCTGAAACTCGCCTGTGGCAGTTTTGAGAGTCGGTCAGATATTGTTAATGGTACAACTGTAGGTACAGGATACTGAGAACAGTATCCCCAGGAGGATAATAGTGGATAGGGTACAGCTGCTCTGAGGAGCGCTGGCCAAGGATTCAGCTGTTGCTAGATTGTTGAATTATTGCTCCAACAAAGGTACAGGCAACCTTTAAGAGGCACACTTATCCTTTGCACTCTCTTTTTCAGAGTCTACTTTCAGTAGTGTTGTTGCACAAAAAGATTTTCAGCCAGCTTCAGCCGATGCAGGAGTTGTATCTAATAGTGTTTACAGAGCATTTATTCATCGCTGCTTAAAGCTTTAATTTTAGCGGACGAGACATTATATTAGTCCCCTTATAAAGAGCACACATACATTTTCCTGAGGGACTTTGAACACAGTTTCACACTTTTGTTATTAAATCTTTCAGCAGAAATAAAGAGCTAATGTACAAACAGTGTCTATGAGTGACAGTGTTCCTTATACAGGCAGGTATTGTGCATCAGGGCTTCCAATATTAGTGTGATGACCATTATATGATTTGTGGTTTGAGGAACTTAAATAATTTCTGCTCTCTAACACAGAGGTCTTCGATGCGAAGGGAACTTTAAGCTTTCATTCTGCAGCTGTGACTGTAAGCATTTGGTACGAGCTTATGAACATCTGTCCATTATTTGTATTACCACACTGCACCAGACAGTGTCAGGTGTACAAGTTAGGCATTCATTTATTTCCCATGATTTGTGTACATGGGCCTGTTTACCACAAAAGGATCAGTGTTTCTTATAAAATAATAATAATTTTGCTGCTGTGGTTGATAAACTGTTTATTTTTTCTGTGAGGCACATTTCCGTCTTCGCACGTGTTTACTTTTTTGGTGGAATTCTGTTTGACCAAGGGCTGATATGAGTCTGTTTTGTGGATGTATAGAGGAAGTTGTAATTATCAGAATAACAATACGTTTTACAGTTTTGGCAAGTTTGTAATCTTGTGCTGGCTTTTTTTCTTGGCATTTTTCTTGTAGTCTCTTTTTTTTTGTTGGATTTATTACATACAAATTGTACTTCTGTCTGTCTGGGCATTCCAGGTCTCTGTTAAATGTGAAAAAGCCTGAGCACAAGCCTTCTTACTAATGTGTGCAGTGTGCATTATCTCTCCCGTCCATTAGTACAGTACTGAGTGAAAATACAACTGAGTATTCTGACAACTTTACATTGTTTACTTGTTTTCAGCTAGATGGTACTTAACTTTAATGTTTTTGAAACTGGAAAAATAATATGCTGATATTCAATGCTTCAAACTCATTCTTAAACTTAGTCTGAATGTATTCTCACCAGTATTTTGATCGCTGCCTGAATAGTATTTTATGCTGCGTCTACTGTTGCATAAACTAGATCAAATGTCTTCATCTGCTGAGTGCACAAAGCCGTCACTGTTCTTATTATAGTGCTTGCTCTCATCTTTCTGTTTTGTTGGAGGTATTGAGTTTTCTCTCACCTTGAGATTTGCCTTTCAAGTAAAAAAAAAAAAGCCTCATATTTCATTTGGTGAGTGTGCAGACTGATGGTTAAAATTACAAGAGCTTTATTGTAAAAATGAACAGAATTGGGTACGGTCATATTTACTTATTACATGGTTATTTGGTTTAATGTAGACCTTGAATTTGTAATTCTCTAACTGTAAAGGTGTGTTGAGCATTAGTAGTAGCAGTATGAGAGAAACCTTATGCACTGTGATCTTATGGTATTTTAACAAAATCAAACTGGTAGCATTCATACATTCAAAGCAAAAGTGATAGCTGTTAGCGTATCATTCGTCAGTGTTAATGTTTCCTGGGTTGAACCGAATACTTTGTCTCTTAACTTTACCTTTCAGTTTTTATCCTGTTCACATATTGTAACCACAGTGTTTACCTGAAATCTAACTTACCTGAGAATCAGTGGGTACTTAAAAGCTGGTAGCATAACCCGACAGTGTGTTGCTCTCATGATGCTGTCTTATCTCACTGCAAACGTCTTGTATTTAGTTTTTGTTTTTTGATGTCGCTGTACTATTTATGAATGTTAAACACATTTCTTTGGGCTGTCCAAATGAATGGCTTATGTAAATTGCAAAGGGCATTCATTTCATAATAATGTCCATAATGACACTGAGCGTCTGTCTCACTCATGAGTGTGAAGGTCAGACTATTCATCTCGATTATGTGTTCAACTTCCCGCTCTCCTCTTTTTGCACTACCAAGGAAAAGGCTGGCTTGCCGACATGCTGGCAAAACGGCAAATACTCTCCCATGCTTGGCTACAAATAAAACATGCAACATACCAAATGGAGACACTACCTTTGTGTGTGTGTGTGTGGTCCTTTGTGCTCATGCCTTGAACATACATGAAAGTATGTGGCTTTAGAAATAGCTTTCACGTTTGGAAACCAAAAGCTTCAAAGCATTTAAAAACTAAAATAGGCCACTCAAATTAATCAGCGTACCTCATCTCGGTCCACCTTTCAACAGCCATTTCACATGAAGTCAAATGTTGCCTCATTGTTTCCACTTAAAAGTAGCAGTGTTCAAATGAAGCCTTAGTATATTTCTTAGCAAGTTCTAAAAACACAGCTCTGAAAATATAATCCCCAAACCCTCCTTGTTTGTATTTTCTTTACACAAGACCTTGATTGTGATTGAAGGACCAAGTATGTGGGGGGGGAACCCTAGAGACGGTGAACAGTTTATTTCCTCTTCATTAAAAAGGATATCAAGCATGCACCGCATACTGAGGTCAAAACTAAGCTGAAAAAAAACAAAAAAAACTATCATGTATGCCTTTCAAACTACATCTCTGTCTTTAAGGAAATATACACAAAGTATAGAGTCTATATAGACATTTGTCAAATAGAGAATGTTATATAAGAATAAAGTATTGAACAGTCAAGGCTCCTAACTGCATTTGTACCATTTCACTACTTTAGATGTGAACACATTTAATTAAAACATTGAATTAATGAAGGGAATCAATTAACCAAATACTATCAAAGTGGTAAACTTCACTTGAATATGTCATTATTTTATGAGCAGCTTAATTGTGATGGTCGTCATGAAAAGCTCCTGCAGCAACACCAGAGGCGCTGTCAGGAGATATCAGATGTGTCTGCAGGGTACGGGGAGCACAGTGTCCCCCCTCTGTCCCGCTGAAGCCTCCCGTACAGATCATAGCCTCTCCTCTCCTCTCTCTCACCGTGCCTCAGCTTCCTGTGGTACACATGGTTCACAGCCAAGTGCAGGGAGAAGTGCACCTGTGGACACAAGAGGAGAGAATACAAACACCTTACAAAACACCTTGGCCCCTAGATATGGCACTACACCAGACACTGCACTTTTCACAGACTACAAACAAATCTTTTCAAAAGGCACTCTGCACATCATTTTCTTTTTATTATCAAATTTTACCAACACAAAAATAATCATCAAACAGCCAGCTGCCATTTGACAAATGCACCACTCACAGCTGGGTAAAGCTCACACCAAATAGAATAATCTTATTATTATGCTGCAAAAGGTTTTATTAGAAATACCCAAAGTGTAAAAGTGGTAGTAAAAACATCTAAAGTAAGTAAACAAGATGTGTTATACAATAACTACAACAACATTCCTAAAGCATAGGAGACAAAAAAAATCTTTATAAAAGTACCTCAGTCATGCAGTAAGAGCAGCGAGGGGATCACACCTCAACAGTGTGTTTTAGGTCAAATAATACCAAGTCACTTGATAAATTAGCACCTAGTGCTTTTGCAATCTAATCTCAAAACGATGAGAAACAATGTATGACCTTTCTAGATCAGAACCAAACAAGTATGTCCCTTTGTCCAAAAGGAACAATTCCAAATAATCTAAAATTCCTTCACTTTGAATCCATCACTTCAATTATTTGGAGGGAGGTGGGGGTCATGCAGTGTGTGCGTGTGTGTGTGTCTCAGATGGGCTGCATTTAGGAGTCAGAGAGGTCTAACCCTCTCATTGTTTGCTGGTCCCTCTCCCTTGACATGTAATATAACCCTTGGCAGAGAATCGGAGCGCAGGTGGCCCCCACAACTGGCTCCTTATTGGTTGGCTTTCAGAACGGCCATTACTTCATTGTTGAGGCTTTTCTCCAGCCCGTGAGAAAAGTCCTGAGGTCAGCGTGAGACTGCAAATGCATGCTTGTCTGCCACCATGGCAACCAGATGTGAAGGATGGTAGTCATGGTAACATAATCCCTATTCTGTGCAACAGCTGCATTCTCGCAGCACATGTGTCGCAAATTGGTGGTTATTCCTTACACCTGTTAATTTATTAGTGATGTGTTATTTCTATTTTGAGAGCAACTGGAAGCAGGAATTAATTATATTCTCAGCAAGAAAAAAAAAGAGCAATAATTTACAAATATTTTGGTAACATGGCATAGGAAATACTGAAATAAGATGTACTGCATTAAGGCAGTAGAAAAACATACTAGCATAGAGAAAAAGAACATTATTCCCAACAAGAAAAGTAAAAATATAAAAACATTTCAAGAGTCCGTGACCACAGGTGGTTCTGTGCAGATGATGAGAAGGAGAGAATTGTTGCCGTCCCTTTACATCCCCATGTTGATAGTGAGGTAGTGAAAGAGCTGGTGAGCCTAACACCGTGCACCCATGCCCTTTCTCCCCAGATACCGAAGAACCGCAAAGTTATAGGTGGTCGAGACAGTATAGGTTAGCTATGGAAGGAAAAGCAGAGACAGGAGGTGTCAGAATATGGAAGAGTGACAAATCCAGAACATCCAGAAACTAGACATAAGAAAATATATGATTAACTGCTAATGGCATTAATTTGATAGCAGATTCCATCCGTATAACGGCTTCTGTAATGGAGCATGCCGGTATAATGGGTGCTCCATTTGCCTGGCTGGAAAACCACCAGACATTACAGCACTATTATGATGTTTGTGTCAGCTGAGAAAGAGGAACAGAGAGCAATAGTACAAAAGTCATCACTCATGGAGGTCTGAGATGCCTCGCCGCCTACACTTTGAGCGTCACCGAGTCACATGAGTCATAACACTATTGTACCCTACTGTGGAAACGCAGACAAATGGGCCCCATCTGAGGAATAATCACTCACCAGAGCCAAGAGAGTAATGCCAGCACCAGCGAAGGCAGCAATGTAGAGGTCATAGGTCATCTGGTACTGATCGGAGATAAGAGAGCTGCATTAGACATACATCTTCATTTCTTGTCAAGCAAATTGTAGAACATGACTGCAGAGCTTTTATTATTCCCGGGTCCTTACTTCTCTGGTTTTGCAAACATTGGAGAGAGTCATACCACAAGCTTTCCCTGGCACTGCGTTCCATGGCAGGAGACCTGTTAAAAATAACATTTATCTGTTTATTTGATCATTCAAACACAAAATACTGTCAAAGGACAATGTTGGCATTTTTCTATATTTGTTTTCCAATATCACTTAAACCTAAAGACCTAAAATCCAACAACGCTACGTTTTTTCATATTTTTTGAGGTATGCCTTGAGGCACTTAAAGATGGAAATCTTTGAAGTTAAACTCTTTTTGTACCATAAGATACAAGACATGTAGGCCTACTTGTTGGGCTCTTTTTTTACACCATCAGGATTGTTTATGTGGGATGAAGTGAAAAAGTAAAGCGCCCATGAACATGGTTAGGAAGGAACATGTCATCCACTGAAACAGAGTGGGTCATTGTATGGCTAGTTATTAGACACAATAAGGAGGTCAATGTTGAGCTTTCCCCCGCGACTCTAGAATGAAAGAACAATTATTGGCTGGATTGCGACAACATTTGTTCTGACGTCCATGGTGCATGAACATGTACATGTGATGAATCCTCATTTGCTTTGATAATTTCCTAACTTATTCCTCTACTTCCACAATGAGAATAGCATTTTAGGATATTTGGGGAAATCTCAAATTTAGGATATTGCCAAAACATTTCAAAACGTTCTCAACTTTAAAATGTAACAAATAAATTGGTCCAGGTTTTGGTCTGCAAACCTAATGCCATTCCCATCAGCCTCAGCTGTTCTTTGTGCCAATTATAAGCAAATGTTAGCATGCTAATAGATTGTGAACATGGTCAACATAATACCTGCCAAAGATAAGCATGTTAGCAATGTCATTGTGAGCATGTTAGCCTGATTAGCTTAGCATTTTGAACATGTGCTGATGGAATATTCACAGTCAGTTAGTGAAAACAACTTTTTGGCATTGGTCTTTTCATGGGATTTATTAATGATAAACTTAGTGTGATAAGGCAGTCCAATAGGTTGCCATCAAAGATGTCCTGTTACCGTATTGCCTTGCATCAACACAGAGCTGGTTGATACTCGCTGGGGTCTCAGTCAGAACATCAATGGTGTGGCAGGTGGCATCCATATTGTAGAAGAAGTAGACAGGCAGGGCCGAGAAGGCGAACACCAGCAGCCACAGCACGGCTAGTACGTAAGTCATTACTATAAACTGTGCAAAGAAGAAGAAGTAGAATAAACATTAGGTTGCATCATCATAATAAACTGATGCACATAATCTTAGTGAGTGTTTTTATGAGCATTGACTCACTAAGTGACAATTTTTTTTTTTATTAGCTTTTCTTATTATCTTACTCTGTGTTCTACTCCTCTTCTTCCAACCACTCAGCTTTTTTATCCCCACCCGCTCAAACACACAATGTATGCTTATCTTTGCATGTCCCCATAGGTTTTTAGCAGCCTTAAGATTTTCAGCTCAGCACCCACCAGGGAGTGATATGTGTATTAATCCCATCCAATCTCGCCAATCCCCTTTACTTGTCCCACTCTAGGCCCTCTCACCGAGGAGCTGAGGCAGCGGCCACACATAGTGCTCCTGAACTCTCCAAAGGTTTGCCTGGCAGCACTTGTGGTGTAGAAACCCTCCGCCAACAGCACGATGCAGTAGAGGAAGAAAAAGGAGGCCAAACCATAGATGAAATACTGGAAATATTGGATGCTGAAGAAAAAAGGAAAAAGAAAGATTGTTACAAGAAGCTTAACCTTCTAAATACATACAAAGAAATCCTATGACAAGGCTACAAATGTCACTGTAATCATGGAAATGCATAGATTTACCACTCACATGTAGGCGAGGGTGATGTAGTCCTGCATGTTACGAGCAAAGTATGTCTCGATGAGTCTTTCCGTCTCGGTGAGTGCCTGGTGCCCACAACCGCAGAAGAGGGCAATGCCAGAGAAACATAGCAGTGTGGCGACCAGGGAGCAGTATGGCACCCCACCCAAACAGCGCATACAGCAATCATAGCAACCTGTCAAG